TTAGTGTGTGGACAGATTTCCTGCACTCTTTGTATATGATTCTTTGGGTGATTCATTATTAAAATAATTTTATAAAATGTGTGTCCTGTATTGTATTGTTCCTCTTGCAAAACCCCAAGCTACAACATTGAGTAATAACTGTTTCTTGGGGTTTGTTTTTGTCTTTTTGTGACAGGGTCTCGCTATTCAGTTCAGGCTGACCTTGAGCTCACTTTGTATCTCAGGCTGGTCTTGAACTAGCAATGATCCTCCTGCCTCAGCCTCCCGAGTGCTAGGATTACAGGCGTGTACCACCACGTCCAGCAGGAGTAATACTGTTTTGTGTGTTTATACTACATTTACTTTATCATTTATCTGTTTTTGGGAATCTAGGCTCTTTCTACAGTTCAACTTTTGTGAATTGTGCTGCTATAAATATGGATATTAGGAATGACTGGTAGTGTATGCAGTCTTTAATCTTTGAGAAATATGCCTAGGGATGGTATACTGGGTCAAATAGTATTTATGTTTAGTCTTTCAAGGAATCTCTACTGATTCCCATAGTGGTTATACTAGTTTCCATTCGCGAAGACAATGTAGAAGGGTTCCTTTACCCCTGCAACTGCTCTAGCAGTTGTAACTATTTTATTTCTTGATCATGGCTATTTTTTCTGGAGTAAGATGGAATCTCAGTGTTTTAATTTGCATTTCTCTAATGGCCAGAGATGTTAAACAAGAAATGTTCTTTTTTCATGTATTTATTGACTACTTGTACTTCTGAGAAGTGTCAAGACCAGTTTTTATGGATCAGCATTTGATCTGTCTTTGTGAGCATTCCGTGTACACTTGAACATTGTTTTCTTCATCTGTTTTGTGAGTGCTCAGTTTAGTTTAGTTTAGATTTGTTCGGTTTTGTTTTTTTGAGACAGGGTTTTCACTGTGTAGTTCAGGCCAACCCTGAACTCATTGTGTAGCCCAGGCTGGCTTCAAACTAACAGCAGCAGTCCTGAGTGCTGGGATTATAGGCGTGCGCCACCACACCCAGCTCAGTGTTCAGTTTTGAAAGTTCATAAAGAATTTAACTGTTCTAGCCCTTCCAAACCTGTTTAAGTATACCTTTTATAAACTGCTATTGGAATTGGCAAAAAACCCACCAGGCTTTAGTTTCCTTTTTGAAATGTTCTTACGTTTCTTTCTAATGAGTACCTATTTTTTATTTTTTAGTTGAAAGGATCTTTATGCTAAGCATTCCCAGAATCCTCTTTATTTTTTCATCCATCATTAGGTAGTAATTTATATACACAATATAAGTATATACTATACTTCTTTGCTAGACTTTTTGCTTCTCATGGGCAGAGATTACTGTTTTATCTTTTTGCTTTCATTCCGCTAGCAGGTGACCAACAAGTATTTAAATTTTAATGAGGTGACCCCCTTAAGACTGGACTGCTTGTCTGTTATGACTTGTGTCTAGATGTCCCCTAAAAGCCTCATGTGCTTATAGGTGAGGCTTTTCAGAAGTGTCTGGATCTGTGGTGTGTGAATATGTATTAAGGGTGTGTGATAACTAAATTAGTCCATTGACTGGTGCAGCATAGTTCTGGATGTGGATAAGGGGAAGGCCCACTCTAGGTGTGGGTGGCACCAACCAGTTGCAGCCTGGATGGAACACATAGGGAAAGAGGGAAAGCAGCCTTGTTGCTTGTTGCTTCTTGCCTGCTCTGCTGTGAACTGCCTCTCTGCCATGCCCCTCTGTCATGCCACCCTGCCTTGGAGTCAGCCAACTATGGACTGAAAGGGATTTTGTCCCAGCAACAAGGAAATAAGATAATGTCGTCCCCCCGCCCCAGTACTTGATTGAAAACAGGAGCCTTTACACTGAGTTACATCCCCAGTACCTTTTTAAAAATTTTGGACGGAATCCTACTAAATAAGTAAGTTGCTCTGGCCTTAAACTGGTTCTCAGGCTCCCAAGTGCTCGGATTGCAGGAATGAGCCACTATGCCCACTGTTTCTTTAGTCTTTCAAGACCTGTGCCTCATATATTATTTCATAATTTTTTATGATTTCCATTTAATAATTCTGAGTTTAAAGTAGGCTTACTTATAGGTGTTTTTTTTAAAAAAGAGTTTTCTAATTGAACCCATAGCAATTGATTAAGAATAGCTGGGCATGGTGGTGCTTGCTTGTAATTCTAGCGCTTCAGGAGGCAGAGACACAATTGAAAGCTTGAGGCCAGTACGGACAATTTAGCAAGACCTTGTCTCAAAATAAAAAGGACTGGGAATATGGCTCAGTGGCAGAGCTCTTGCCTGGCATGCATGGGGCTTTGGGTTCAATTCACTTACTGGAGGAAAAAAAACCAAAGGAACAACAGCAACAACAACAACAAAAAAAACCCAGTTTCTTGTGTGTCTGCTATATAAAAAATTTTCCTTTTCTGTGGACTTCTGTACCTAAGAAGAAAGGAATGTAGATAAAATGTGTATCCTGTACAAAGGGCCAAGTCAATAATAGATGCCTTGAATTATAAACCACTTTGTAGGTTTACATACTCTTTCAGAGAAAAGGCAGGTAAAATGAGATAGCAATTTAAAACTGAGAATTGTTTATTTAAGGAGACAAAGTTGTTTGGAAAGATATTTTAAGACTTTTGTGGTCAATCTTTGGAGTTTGGGGATTTCTTAATCAATTCCAGCTGCTATAAGAAAAATACCATTAGCCGTGTGGGTGACTTATAAACACCCAAAATTTATTTCTCCAGTTCTGTAGGCAGTGAAGTCCAAGATGAAGGTTCAGGCAGATTTGATGTCCTCATAAATTGTTGTCTTCTCACTATAATCTCACATGGTGGGAGAGGCTGGAGATCTCTTTGAGACTTTTTTTTTGAGATAGTGTTTTGATATGTTTCCATGGCTGACCTCAAATTCACTATTGACCCACCTCAGCCTCCCAAGTAGCTGGGACTATAGGCATATGGCACCATGTTTGACCTTCTCTAGGGCCTGTTTTATAAGTGCTGGTCCTAGGGCATAGCCATGACTTAATATCTTCACAGAGACTCTGCCTCCAAATAATATCACATTGCTAATTGGACGTCAGCCTATGAACTGGCAAAACCCAACAGTCTCTACCTGGGAGTTTTATTGAAGTAGACAGTTTATTTAGCTTCTCTGTTAAGAACACTGTTTTTTCCTATTGTTTAAATTAATAAAAGCACAACTTTGGAGGCTTCCTAATTGGTCACTTAAGATTGTTAATTTGGGGGCTGGAGATGTAGCTCAGTGGAAAAATGCTTGCTTAGGGCATGTGAAGCTTATAGCTTGATGCCCAGCACTGGGGAAAAAAGATTTTTACCTTTGCCAGGAATTTCTATACCTTCAGAAGTTTAGAGGCTTTGGGGCTGGGGATTTAGCTCCGAGGCACATCGCCTGCCGGACAAGGGCAAGGTCGTGAGTTCGATTCCCGGTAAGGAAAAAAAAAAAAGGAAGTTTAGAGGCTTTATTGGAGTTACACATTTTTATGAATGCATTCATTGCTGTGATTAGCTTTCTTGTCTTCCTACTTTATTCATTTTGAGCTTCAAGATGAAAAGATCGGGGTGCAATCTACCCTTTGTAGGAGATGGTTTTCAGGAACCTTTTGGACATCAGAATCCATGGATACTTGAGTCCCTTATATAAAATGGCAGTATATTTGCAGATAACCTGCATACGTCCTTCTGCATTCTTTAAGTCATCTCTAGATGATGTGTAACATCTGATGTAATGAAAATGCTGTTGTTTTTTTAAATGTTTATTTTATACGTCCAAGTTTTCATTCTTTTTTTCTTTTTACATTGTCATTATACTCTAGAAGGAATTATGATAATGGAAAGGTCTGTACATGTTCAATAGACAGGTTTTTTTCCGAATATTTTCTGTCCATGGTTGGTTAAACCTACAAATACAGAGGTTTGAATATATATTCTTTATATGAGTGAAAAAAATGGTAGTTAAGTGATAATAATAGCTTAGGTATAACCAAAGTATTAGAATTCAAATCTCTTAGTCTTTGATTTTGTTTCACAGACTATAATTCAAGGTATGTCCTTAATTTTCTACGTATTGTGGCAGTCTTGCAGCCATTAATTTTGTTACCCATAAAATAAGAGTTTAAGTAGATAGCCTCTTTTTTTCCATATGTAAACCTAGGCTTTTTTGTTTGTTTTAGGCTATGCTGGGGGTCAAACACAGAGCCTCACACATGTGAGGCAAGTGCTCTACCACTGAGCCACATCCCCAACCCATTAATGTAAGTTTTTTTTTTTTTTGAAACAAGAGCTCATTATGTAACCCAGGCTGTCCTTGATCTCACGCTATAGCTCAGGCTAACCTCCAACTCAAAGTTGCTATCCCCCTGACTTAGCCTGCTAGGTACCAGGGTTACAGGTGTGTACTACCATGCTTGACTTAATTCAGTTTTTAAAGTATCATTATGTGTAACAGTAAGATTGGAATCTCTCAAAATAATTCAACCATTCTTGTTATTCTTACGTGATTGCTGATTATTGGAATTACGTGTATGCATTTGATTCATTCATTGAAAGATAGTTTTTCCTATTATGTTTGAAGTTAAGGGCAAAATCCTTCCCAACCTTGTTTACTACTTTTTGTGTTTACCTGGCTCAGTGCTTCAACTGTGGCTAACTGCTCAGTAAATTTGTAGAATAAATGAGTGATTAACAAACGATAATGTTGGCATGGGTAGTACAGGCAGCATAGTGTTGTAGAAAGAATATAGATACTCTTTGTATCCTTACTTTAGATCATAAGAGGTAATATTTTGGAGGTTGTTAAGATAACTTGGGATAGTAAAAAGCATAGTCTTTTACTTAAAATGTTTGTTCATTTTTTTTAGTTTCTTATTTCAGTCTGCTTAAAGACCAACATTTTTTAAATCAACATTTTTATCATATAAACCGGGTACATTGTGTACATTAGGTTGAGTTTTAATGAGCTTTGTTATTTTTTCTTTTAAAGTTTTACATGTGGCACCCATAAAAAATGAGGCTGAGAACACGAAAAGCTTCTCAGCAATCAAATCCAATCCAAACACAGCGTACTGCCAGAGCAAAAAGGAAATATTCCGAAGTTGATGATAGCCTGCCTGCACGAGGAGAAAAACCACCGAAGAATGAGACCGGCTTATTGTCTTCAATTAAAAAATTCATTAAAGGAAGCACACCCAAGGTAGTAGTTTTGCTTTATACTTACATTTTTTTAAAAAATGAGATTTAGATTGTATTCTCTAAGCATGTATACATGAACAATTGATATTGATAAATCCCTTGTAAGGGGATGTCTGTATTTCAGTGTTATTTTATCTTTAGGAATGTCACATGGAAAATAGTTAATGGAGATTGAAGATGAACATTATCTTGCTGAAATAATGGAGAGCCAAAGAAAATGTTTGCTTATTTTTGTTTCACTTGAAGTTTAAAAATTTTTTTAACCTGTTTTCTTAGACTTCAGAGAAAAAGTTTCCAGTTAATGTTTATTTGCTATTTAGGAAGGTGATTTCTTTTGTCTACCAGAATTGTAATACTATTTGTAAAGTGAAATGAATTACTTAAAGAGAAAACAAAATTATTTAAAGAAAGTGTGGACACTGATGTATGTAAATTTATTACTTTGCACAGAAAAATTACTATTGACTTATATGGTAGATTTTCTTAGAATTAATAAAACCTAGTAATTTGGAACCATGATCAAGATTTTGATATATTCTGTTTATGTAGGATTTGGTGCTGTTTTTACGTTGTTGTTGTTTTGTGTTTGTTTTTGTTTTTTTGATACAGGATCTTGCTGTGTAGTTCAGGCTGGCCTTGAACTCTTTGTGTAGCCCATGCTGGCTTCAAACTTGCATTGATTCTCCTGCCTCAGCCTCCAGAGTGCTAAGGTGCACTTTCGCTCCCGGCCTTGATGTCTTTTTTATCTGTGATTTCTTTTGTCATTAATTAATGACATTACTTTTGTTTCTTTGAGTACATTGGTCTTATCCTGCAAGTATTCTAGTGAAATTAACCATGTGACAGAGATTAGATTTCTTCCAGAAACATGAATTCCCATCTCTTTAAATTCCTAATGGGTTTTCACCAGCTTCTGTTGATGGAGAAGGTTACTGTTTATTAGCTCATTCTCCTGTACAGCTATATTTGTTATTCATAATAGTGATTCATAATTACTCTGTTTTTTCATATATTCTTTTTAGTATTCTTTCTCTAGAAGACACATGCTCCTTTCCTTTACATAGTATTCTTTCAATAGAAGACAGATGCTATGTTCCGTTAAGTGTGCAAGTGCAAAACCTTAATCATTACCTAGATTCAGTATTTCAAGATTTTATGATACCTAATGATATATTTGTCTAAACATCTTGGTAAATTTTTCCTATGTCTTGTGACTTCTACTTATATTATTTCCTCTGACCTTCTGTTAATGTGACTATGTTGTATTTTTTCCTAAATATTTAGTTGTTCAATCATGTTGGTCAGCAAATTTTTTCTCATGTCAACATAAACACTTAGCATCTTTCTGTCAACATTTCTGCCAAAAATTTTTCTGGTCAAGATGTATTAATACCTGTTTATGTAAAGGTGTTAAGTAAAATAGGGGAATAAAAAATAGGTTTGCAAATTAATGTTTTTCGTATAGCTACACATTCATTTAGTTGTACTGTAATTCATCTTAGATTTCTTTGTTATATTCTGTAAAGTTATTATGGAAATAAGTACTGTATTTAGAAGCTTTGCTGAAATCAGGGTACATTGGTTCTTTTCCCAGTCTACTAATCCTGTGTTAAAGTAAAAAGTTTAGTTTGCAATGTATTATTTGTAATAACTTCTAATTCATGTTGCTGTTTTATCTACATCATCATAAACCGTCTTCTTATATTCTAAAGTTATCATACATGATGCTCACTTATGTATGCATCTTAAGAGTGTCTTTTTTTTCCCAGAACTTGTTGACAGTTCACAGCTGATAGTGAGATGCTTTGTATCTAGTATTTCCTTAATCCTTTATGACCATCTTTTGATATTTTATGGAAGCTGGGCGTGGTGGTGCATGCCTGTAATCCTAGTGCTTGGGAGGCTGAGGCGGGAGGCTGAGGCAGGAGGATCGTTGTGAGTTCGAGACTGATCTAGGTTGCAAAGTGAGCTCAAAACCAGCCTGAACTGCATAGTGAGCCCCTGTTTCAAAAAGACAAAATAAAAATTAAAAAAAAAAAAAAATTAAAAAAAAGTTATTGGAAAAGGAAAAAAACTAAGACTTAGTGAACGTAAGTGTAATACATTGTCAGTAATAGTAATTATTAGTAAATAACTTGCCCAGGATGAAAAAAAGAGTAAAGTAACAGTCACTGAGACTTTTGGGGCAGTTCCTATATGCAAGAGCACTGTCCTGAGTGTTTTCAAGTCTAATAATTTATTTAATCCTCACAAACAACGTAGACCTTGTTATCACTATATTACAGATGAGGAAACTGAGGCACAGGGAGGTGCAAGATTACTTAGCTTTAAGTGGCAAGAATGGAACCCAGTTATCTTGGTTTCAGAGCGTACACTTTTTTTTTTGAGACAGAGTCTCGCTATTCAGATTGGCCTTAAACTCATGGCACTCTTCCTTCCTTAGCCTCCTGAGTGCTGGGATTACAAGTGTGTGCAACTACGCCTGACCCAGAGCATACGCTCCTAATTACTATGTACTATAGCATCTTTAGCAACTGGTAGCGCTAGAATTTTTTATTTTTTATGCTAGGGGTTGAATGCAGGACCTCACACCCAGGGCTTCATCCTTAGCCCCTTTTTTAGTTTTTTATTTTAAGACATGTTCTTGCTAAATTATCCAGGCTGAGTTCAAGCTTGTGATCCTTCTGCCTTGGCCTCCCAAACTGTAGAAACTACAGGTGTGCCCACCTCATCCAGCCCTGGTGTTTTAAAGTGAAGTATATTGGACTCCAATACCTATGCTATTTCTGTTTTACCATTCTGCCTCCAAAATAGCTAGATACGGTACTGCCTTTACCTAATTAGTATAGGGATAGTAAATCTCTTATGTGGAAATTATTCTTGGTGCAAGTATATAAAAATTGGTTCTTATGCTATCCATTTTGTCCTCTATTTATATTCTGTCAGCTCAAAGCTTGAAGTTTGTTCCTTTTTTTTGGTCTTTTTGAGACAAAGTCTCACTATGCAGTTCAGGCTGGCCTTGAGCTCACTTTGTAGCCCAGGCTGGTCTCGCACTTGTAATGATATTTTGCCTCCACCTCCCAAGTGCTGGGATTACAGGTGTGTGCCGCTATGCCTGGCAATGAGTTTGTTCTTTTTAGAGGAACTTTTTTTCTGTAGTATTTTGTGCATACATCTTATACTGTCTTTAATTTAGTCCTTTTGACTGGATGATACAACTCTTTATTTTTTACTAGTGTCCTTTTCAAACCCAATTTATTCATCTCGATATGCTGCCACCTTTGGTTTCCTTGGTACTTTTCTTTTAGATTTATATGGCTATGTGAGTAGACCTGAGAGATTTAGACAAGTATAAGCCTGGTTTTTAGAAACTTCCTTGCCTGCTTTCTTAGCCTGCTTTATTTGCTTTCTTTTGCTATTTTGATATCTAAGATTACATGACTACTGGTGTCCTTGCTCTGTTGCTTCTTTGTTGTACTGTACTGGGTATTGAACCCAAGGGATTCATACTGAGCTACATATCCTGCCCTTTTTTATTTTCATTTTGAGACAGGATCCCGCTAAGTTCCCCATGTGGAACTTGAACTTCCAATTCTGCTGCGTCAGTCCTCAAAGTTCTGGCATTACATGTGTGTCACTACTCCTAGCTTCTATTTTTATGTAACCAACCAGGTTCCATCTGCCTCTCTTCCTGATTTTTGCCATAAATTAAGCATGAAAGTATTCAGATAAACAAAACATGGGCCATTCATTTATGAATAAAAGGAGTGTGTATTCATTTGCTAGGGTTGCTATAATAAAATACCACACACTGGGTAACTTCAGTAGTATTTTCAGAGCTGGGCATGGTGGCACACTTCTGTAATCCAAGTATGGAAAGTTGAGGGAAGAATATCAGGAGTTCAAGCCCACCTGGCTACATAGCAAGTTGGGGGCCAGTCTGGACTGTATGGTAAGACCCTGTCTCAAAACAGCGATAACAATAAAATGATTATTTTTCATCTATTATTAAGTATTATGTAAAGTACATAACTTCATGCACTATGCTTTGATATGACTGGTTAGTAGGTTTGTTTATATCAGCATAAACACAAAAGCATTAGGAGTGTTAACATATGATATCAGTCAGCAAGTGATTTCCTCAACTAGGAATTTTTGGCTCCATTATCTTATAGAACCACTGTCATGTATGCTGTCTGTCATTGAAATGTCATCATGCACTGCATGGCTTGTTGGATGTACAAGAAAGACTGGGATTGGGTGATATGTCATCTTTCAGTATTGAATGATTGAACATTTCAGCATTTTATTCTGAAGAGTAGGGTTGTCAATTTTGAATGTGTTCTCAGATAAACCACAGCATAGTCAGTCCTGTGTGGTACCTCCACAGTATCAATTTATACCCACCCTATTGTTAAATAGGAAAATAGTATCTGTATGAGTGGTATGTTGGTTTATGCATGCTTTTCTCTAGACAAGAGGATTCTGAATAATAGGAGTTTGATGTTGTATTTCATCAGGAAGAAGTATTCAGTTCAGCTGCTGCACAGGCAGATAATGCCCCTTGTGTTTCTTTTTCTTTTCTTTTTTTAAAAATTAAAAGTGATAATCTGTGGTAGGGGCTCTCGTGAGAGGTAGAATCTAGCGGGAATTTTTCCAAGATGGCTTTGCATTTCCTTTTATAGCCTTTTTTTTTTTCTTTTCTTGCGACATGATCTCTCTCACTTTGCAGTTCAGGTTGGCCTCCAACTCGCAGTGATCCTCCAGCCTCCTGAGTGCTGGGATTACAGGGTTGTGCCACCACACCAGCTGTCCATTTTAACAACAGTACTACTAGTTTAAATCTCCAAATTTGAGGTCCTTTACGTCCTTGTTCCTACTTCATTGTTTTTGGTACCCTTTTTTATGCTCTGAAATAACAGTCCAGCTCCTTTTACCTGTCTTTGAAGAGTTGCTCAAGTAATCTCTGAAGGTCGCAGTCATTGTTTTTATTAGTGCTGTTAGTTACAAAGTTACTGGAGTAGTAAGTAATCTGCTCTAACATTCTCCTCTCTTTTGGGACTCATTTTTTCCTTAAGACTTTTAGTGTTGTAGAATGCAGGTTTTTGGGAGTATATGTTTATGTTTAGGGCAGCTATACTAAGAAACTTCTTCCAGAGGAAGCTGGAACTTTAAGCTTAAATTTGAGCTTTGCTGTATTATTTGTTTTTGGACTTTATAAAGAGAGCCCTAGGGCCAGGGATATAGCTCTGTGTTGCAGCGCCTACCTGGCAAGCGCGAGGCCCTGAGTTTGACTCAAAAAAAGAAAAAAGGAAAAAAAAAGAGAGTGAAAGAGAGCCCTATCTTTTCTAGTAATGGAAATTCCATGTTTCAAATGTGAAACTTCTGCTCACCATTTTAAAATACAGGGGCATATTAAACAGTAAAAATTTTGTTGTAAATTACCGAAACATCATTTTGTGTGGTAAAACTGTCTTGTTTTGATGGAGCAGCCTAAAATTAAATGAATTGCTGTGCCAAAGTATAGGTGTGTATTGAATGGTATTTGCAGTAATATCTTGTTTTGTATTTTTGTCATTTATATTACCATCGTTCATTAAAATATAATCCTCAACCTTTCAAAAATGTGTAATAGTATATTAGTTGCTTGGGTAAAAGCATCAAATACAAAAAATTTGAGAAGTTATGGCAGTCAAATAAGAATGCTGATTGCATAAATTACAGACTTAAAGATTTGAAAATCAAATCCTTTTCAATGTGTTTCAGGTAGTATCACTAAATCAGCAAGGAATTGTAGGGAAATATTATAAGAGTGTAAGAAAAAGACTCATGCAATAGACGGCTAGAAAATTTTGCAAATGAGAAAGATAGTTGTATAAATGGAGAAAAACAGGGTTGGTGGTATAGTTTAATTATAGAGTACTTGTCTAGAAAGTGTGAGGCCCCGGATTGAATCCCCAGCACTGTAAAACAAACAAATGAAGAGAAATAAATCAGGCTAATGCTTGGAACTATATGTTTTAGTCAGTCATACTCCAAGAATAGTATCAGCTAGTCACGTGGACCTGCCCTAAATAAGGCAACAAATAGAGAGCTTTGAGTTCGTGGTGTTAATGTGGGTATTTAAATAATTGAGACAGTAGAGATGTGGAAGTTGGCAGGCCCTGCCTTTTGGGAGTTTAGTACCAGCAAGTTCAGTGAGACACCTTCTCCTATCCTTAGTGCTCAAGGAAATAATCTCTTTTCCTAAGAACAGTTCTAACAATAAGGGAAAATTGGCTGAAAATTAAGAGCACATTGTACAATTTGGTATTTCCATAGCTTAGAAAATTTAGGGGCGCCTCAGAAAGAATCTGAATCATGGGATGTCAAAATTGTGGGAATGCTGTAGTTGCATGCTATAACTTCATCAATACTTTTAAAACAGACTTTTCCTGTGTTTTTAAAATTTATACTCTTTGATATTAATTGCATTTTGTTTCTTCAGGATCTGAAAAACAAGAGAAAGTATACCATATTTTACCATTTAAAACACTGTAACATATAAGGAAGAATGAATGCTCAGTGCATGTTTTTTCCTCTTATATCTTAAGGAAGAAAGAGAAAATCCTTCGAAACGAAGTAGAATTGAACGTGATATAGATAATAATTTGATCACATCAACACCAAGAGCAGGAGAAAAGCCTAACAAACAGATATCTCGAGTAAGACGGAAAAGTCAAGTAAATGGAGGTTTGTTAATATTTAGATTCTGTTTTACTTAGGTGAAGCAGAGATCTCACTGACATGTTCCTTATCTGTTTTTAAAAATCTGCTTTAATGACTTTTGCCTCATTTTGGTAATCTATTTTATATTCAGTATTAGCATGAAATGAAAAATTTGTCTTCTAAAAGTATCTTACTTTGAATTAGAATAAAGGCGTAATAACTATTTAGCATAAAAATATAAACAGATTGGGCTCAGTAGAGATTTGCCTAAAATTCATGGAGCCCTGGGTTCAATTCTTTGGTTTTTCTCCGGTACCGGGAACTGAACTCACGACCTTGCGCTTGCCAGGCAGGCGCTTTGCCGCTGAGCTAAATCCCCAGCCCCCCTGGGTTCAATTCTTAAAACATACACACACACACACACACACACACACACCAGTGTATGGATCAACTTCTTTTTTTTTTTTTTTACTTCTAATTGCATTTCTTAGAGCAGTGATAATTGTGACTTAATTTGAGATATGTATAAAAACTTGTTTCTGGATCATGCTATTTTAGGACTCAAAAGGTACAGTAGTTAAGTCATTTAATTCAGTAGTTCTTAACTGGAAGTGGTTTTGTTCCTGATGTTTATAAATATTTGGAGACCCTTATAGTTGACACACCCTATGGGGGGGGCGGATGCACAAGCATCTAGCAAATAGAAGTAAGGGGTGCTGGCGAGCATCCTGTAGTGCATAGTACAGTCCATCACAGCAACGAATTATCAGGCCTAAGTGCCAGTGTTAAACTGTTATCAGTGTTTATTGAATAGCTGAGAAGCTCCTCAAAGTCAACAAGGAGAAAGACATTAAGGACAAGCAGAGAGAGAGAGGTCTAAAGAACAACATTTCAGAGCATGGAGGTACCTTTTAAATTAAAGCTGTTTTCAGTAGTGTAGCAATAACAGTGTGTTGTGTCCCTTCATCAGTATAGTAATTATTTTTATTGTTTGAAGTGATTAGTGAGGTCCAGAAGGAGACTGAGATGGGCAAGGAGACAAGCCAGGAGAGAAAAGAGAGAAAGAAATAAGTTTTAAAAGGTTTAACAAAGCTGGGCATGGTGGTGCATGCCTGTAATCCCAGCACTTGGGAGGTTGAGGGAGGAGGATCTCTGTGAGTTCATGGCCAGCCTGGGCTACATAAATGAGTTTGAGGCTAGCTTGTGCAACATAGCAAGACCTTGTCTCAAAAAAAAAAA